TAAAACCAGGGTGCAACGCGAATGACCACTGCCCGGCAATGTCGCTCTCAATAATCTAATCAACAATTCCAACTAGCACGCTTCAATTTGCATGCCTCACGAGCCACTTACTGTCTACGATTTAACTAGCCAATTAAGTCAAAATTGTCGAAATTTGAGAACTGAAGTAAGGATTCCCCATCAAAATTACGTAGTTGTCGATTCAGAAGCTATGTTTGCAGAGTTAAAAAAAACTACTGAATAGATTCTCAAAATAAGGATTTTTCTTTTCAGTCGTAAAGTCAGTTTTTGAATTGACAACTTATAATTTCAACTTTAAATTTGCAACAGTTAAGAAACGACCGTTGAAAGCAGAAGCACCACTCACATCCTGTACAAGCCTTAAAATTCGGAGAAATTTGCAAACATTTATTCCATTTCAAAAACCTGCACAGGTTTTAAGCGAATGCTCTGAAGAAGAATATGGCTGCGAGCTATGTGTTCGGAATCCATTCAGCTACTCCTTCGAAATTCGAATCAGATTAAAATCTGAGCAGGTTTCCCAAGCGTTAAAAAGCGATGTTTCAGAGAAAGTAACCAACCATGTGCATAAAATCTGACAATCAGGCAAGCAGTATGCAACAGTTCGACTGGTATTTATGTGCACAAATTTTCAGGATTCTGCCCGACTTTTCAAGCCCACACTGAGAGCTTATTTCAGGAGGAAATGAACAAAACAGAAAACCTTTTGAAGGTTCCATGTTCGTGATAACTGGATCCACATAGGTATAGCTGTCATTTGAAATTGCCGTATATCGATGTTCATCCCGTAATTTCACAATCACTGGATTACGGGCCAGCACCGGTAATGGACTTTGTCGTGTTCGACAAACAATGCGTGAAGCGGTCACGTATGCACTCTCGTCAACGTCACAGCGTACGTTTGCTGCAGTGACTGCATTCACCACTGCTTTGTAGCTATGACCGAGATTCATACCATCAATCACCAACTACAACAATCCGGTTCAATCCAATATTTTCTGGAACTGTAATTGTCCTTCCGGCGACCAGCTGTACAGCCAGAAAGAAGCCAATTCTTTTTTTATCCAGAAATTAGTACAATTCCGAGTTTTTATTTCGTGAAGCTGATTTTCAAAATTTTTGTTTATTAAATTTCACATTAATAAAGATTCAGTAAAAAAAACTTTGCTCTATTTTGCTATTCATAAACAATTTCTACTATTATTTTTTCATAAAAGTCCTCCTCTCTGGCTGGAAACATAAAATAGCCCCAAATGTGAATTTTGCAAATGCTATCCTAGCAAAAATGAGACAGTGAAAATGACTGGTCAAAAGAAATGTGACAATGAAACAAGGCAAGACCAAAGTATCCCGGACTTACCTTGGTTCCTCCAGCTATTGGTCCCTTTTTTGGACTGAAATCAGTGATCACCGGATAGGGGCAAAGCTGCGATCTAAAAACACAATATAAAGCAAAAAAGAAATCATGACAACGCACATAAACATGGACGAGCACCGACTGGGCAACTGCAACGAAGTATGCGTTTTTTTTGCATCGACACTTCATGCACATATGAATTTACACGAAATTTCAAGAGAAAAAACGCGATTGGTACATTTGCAAATGCCTAGAAATTAGCCGCAATAAGTTCATGAAACAGCTGTTGCTTTAATATTAACATGTAGAATTTCTCACAGTTCAGATTCGTTAATGCTGGGCGTTCCAACGAGGAAAAGGAGCTTTCGAGGATAACATCGGAAATGCAAGCTTACAATGAGCTGGGAGGCCCCTGCTTGAATCTGTTGTGTTATTATTTCCAGGCATTCCGGGTATCAGAACACGTAAGCTCGGCATCCCAG